GGATATGCCTTTAATCCCAGCACTTGGGAGGCAGAGGCAGGCAGATCTCTGAGTTCAAGGCCAGCCTGGTCCACATGAGCGAGTTCCAGGACAGCCAGGACTGTTGTATAGGGAAGCCTTGTCTTTAGAAAACAAAAACAGAAATAACAACAAAAAAAAAAACAATAAAATAAAATCTCTACCCTCAGGAAATCTACAGCCAAATCAGGGTAAGTCAAGGGCTGCTGGGAGACAGGATCACCAACTTCCAAGACAGCAGCAATATTAGGGAAGCCATTGTCGTTCCTGCCCCTCTTACCGGTAAAGCTCCTCTTTGTCACGCCTGTAGAAACGCAGGAAGAGCATGTGTATGGGAAGACCTACTAGACGCCAGCGGGCTTGCAGGGTCCAGTTCTCAGGGTGGCGGGTCAGCTGTAGAACCTCCAACTGAAACTGTGCAAAATAGTTCCAAGCCAGGAAGCGGCAAAGAGTCAGGGACATAACGTACCATGTCCGGCCCCTATGAGAATCAAAGGGAGGGGACATCAGGACTGCAGGACTAGAAAGCCAAGCTGGCTTCTGTTGAAGGAGCAGGGAGTGGTCGCAAGAGGCAGCCTAGAACCTCTGAGACAAGGCTCAGCACTGGGTCCTCCTCTCCCTCCCTCGCCCCACCTCTCACTTGGTACGGATGTTCAGGATCTCATTGATGAATTCCACATCCATTGAATACAGAGTGTAGTCATGGGAGCGAAGGAAGAGGGTAGGAAGCTGGGTAGAAGAAGACGGCATCAACTCAGTGGGAAGAAAAGACTCCGTTTCAGGATATATGTACTTTATTTTTGAGACAAGGTGTGTAGCCCAATCTGGCCTTGAACTCAGAATCCTCTTCCCTCAACCTCCTATCTAACTTCTACTCCCACCCACAACTAAAAGGTCATCTCCAACTTAACTGTCCTTCATTCAGAGGGACATCCATTCCCTAGGGAGACACTTCACAGCACAGCTCGAGGCCTGCCTCATGCTGCCAAGAATTCAGTTGACTAGCTTGTCTCCATAGTCTTCCCCACTACACACGCTTACCTCCTGCCTCAGTCTCTCATACATGACAGCCAGGTGCTCCTCCATACTCTGATCTCTTGATGGGGTGGCAGGGGAAGGGTGGGAAGCTCCAGGAGCTTGGAAAGGTATCAAAGCCCCAGGATAGGGGCAAGGGGGCCCCTCAAAAAGGCTCCTAAGCCCATCCAGACAACCATTGTGCAGCTCAGGTCCTGGTCCCTCCTCCCGCTTTCCTAGAGGAAGAGCCACCCACAATGAGTTGAGAGCCTGGACCTGAGAGACAGGTAGTGGGAGAGCCTGAGGAGGAGGAGGAGGATGTGGGGGTGTAAGAGACCAGAGAAGAGGAAACGATGGAGAAGTGGGTGGAGTGGAGTGGGGCCAGGTGGGTGGGAACGGCAGAGTCCGAGGAGAAAGCTGGTCCTAGAGAGAGAGAACAGAAAGAAAAAAGTCAGATGTCTAAGCTAGGCATGGTGGTACTAGGGAGGCAGAGAGAGGCAGGACTGCCCACTGAGTTCCAGGCCAGCCAGGACTACACAGTGAGACCTAGTTTCAAAAACAAAACAAAAAATCAGCTGTCTAATGCTTCATCCCAGATGGGCTGTTAACAAGGTTCAAATCCTGCCTGCTCCTCTGGCAGAAGAGAGAACCAGAGGAAGGAGGGATGGAGTCACCACTGTCTCCAGACACGAGGAAAGGGTGTCAGGGGAGAAGAGTACCAGTGACACCTTCCCCGACTTTAGAAAAAGCATCTTTGCATTTACAGCCCCTCACGATGTGGAGCCAGTTTTACATCTCTGACTCCAAGAATTGTAAGAATATGTTTTATGAACAATTGAAGACCGGTTTACTGTATGATGGATGAAGTGATGTGACCTATAACATGTTCATGATTCTGAAACAGAGCTGTGCAGGGCAAAGGACATCCAGGTGAAAGGTATGAATTTTGAGTTCCGACTCTATCGGAACCTCAGGACTTTTTCCCTACGCCTCAGTTTCCTGGAAATGGAGAACAGTTAGGCCTCAGGGACTTATAATGAGGGCTATACAGGGTGATGAATGTAGATTAAACGTCAGCATCCATAAAGTAGGACATAAATGGAAACTATTATCATTCTGGGCCCCACTGAACGACATAACCCCGGCCGACTGCTGAACGTGAACTCCTCCGGCCACTAACAGTTACTGCAAGGAGGGCAGGTCACCCTGGGTCAGGGCTGATTCCAGGTCCCTTGGCTCCCAGGGCCGGGGGACCCGGGTGCCTGGCCTTGCCCTCCGGGAGCCTTCCCGCCGGGGGCGTGGCAGTGCGGCGGCCCGCACCCCGGAGCCCGGACCGGTCCACGGGCAGCCTTGCAGCCTGGAGCGCCCTGCAGGTGCAGCGCAGGCCCGCAGTTCCGGCCTCCCCGCCCTGCCCTTCAAATCACCTCCGGGCGCAGGTAACGGCGGAGGCTGGGGCGCGCAGCTGCACCTCACCGGGGACCCGGTGCCCCGGGCCCCGCCAGCCCGCGCCAACCCCGCGCCCCCTAACGCGCGCCGCGCCGGCGTGGGAAGGGGCTGCGGGGCCACTGCGCCTGCGCCGCCCCGCCCCTCGCCCGCTCTGAGGAGGGTCTCCGCCCGCCCCCCGCCGCCCGCCGCCGCCTCACCTGGGGTCGAGCCTGGTAGGCGCGCAGGCAGGGTCCGAGGCGCCGGGCGGCCCCCCGGCTCGGGCGGTACATGGTGTTCTTGGGGTGAGAGGGTGCCTCCCGCGTCCCGTCTCCTCACTGGGCAGCGCGCCCCGGGGCCGGCTTCGTGAAGGGAGAGGAGGGAGGGGGGCCGGGGCCGAGGGAGGGAAACGGAGACACCGTGCGCCTGCGCAGTGTGGGCCCGCCGCCGCCGCGGTGCCGCTGCGCGGGTGTGCGCCTGCGCTTGGCGGGCCGAGGAGCGCCCGCGCAGCCTCTGATCAGGCCTAGCAAAGTCTTGAAATGGTAGAGCTGAATGTGGTTTAATGAGCATGGGGGTGGGTGAATTAAGTAATGACAAGTCACTTTTTTTCAATGACTATAGTGATAAAAAATAAATACTTTTATTGCTCTCGTTAAAAATAAGATACAAACGATCTGAAGCTTGATAGGCCTGTTGAATGAATGAATGAATGCATCCATTATGAGGGCTGAGCTTTGGCCGTGTCCTGTAGTGAAGAAGTAATACGGACTTGGAAAGAGTGCGAGGGGGCTGTGGTCACCAAGGCCGGGTGCTGCGGCGTTCCTGCAGGTTTCGGATGAACCTGGCGTTGATTATGTCCCCACCCACCGACCAGGACTGAGCTGATGGATTCTGGACCGTTGGAGCAACTGTACTCGTAGGTTCCTCCCCAGACCCAAAGGCTAACAAGACCTGATCCTCACTGGACAACCTGGTGGGCAGGGAGACGGAGAGCGGGTTAGAGCTGCTAACAGGAATTACTATTAGAGATTCTTCAAGGCCCTAGGTGCCATTTCAATGAAGAGAACACCTGCTGGGGTATAAGGCCGGGACAGTTAACACTGTACAAACTTCAGCCCGCAGAGCATGGCAGCGGGAGGCACCAGAGCTCAACCCACGAGGAAGAAGGCTTGTGTTAGCAGGAAGCATGTGAGAGTAGTGTTAGTGTCAGAGGTGCGGGCGGCTGTTAGGGGAGGCGCAGACCTCACCTATCCTCTGCTTCCTGTTCCCCCTGCTTCCGTTCTTGGTTGCCTGTGGAAATACCAGGCATCTGGGGAGACTGCAGTAGTGTGTGTGGCCCTTGATTGGAGAATAAGGAGGAGTGACCACTTACCTGTGCCCGGGGATGAGGCACTGATTCCCCCATGGCGGCTGTAGTGGCAGCTTTGGGCTGCCAGCCCCGGGGGAGTCACCCTGTAGAAGAAATGGGAGATGATGGGAAGAGGCTCAGGATGAAAGATGGCGTGGAGGGGTCAGAGGAGAGAGGAGGAACAAGGACAGAGGGCCGCTGTCACCCAAGGGTTCCTGTCTAAGCTCTCCCCAGCAAAGGTAGGGGAGGGCTTATTTTATACCTCAAGATTTTTAAAGTATCCCTGCTGTGTTGCTTTATTCCAACGGGGTGGTGTGTGATGTGATCTAGTTATGTCATAAAAACACTCACGCAGCCTGGTGGTGGTGGCGCACGCCTTTAATCCCAGCACTTGGGAGGCAGAGGCAGGTGGATCTCTGTGAGTTCAAGGCCAGCCTGGGCTACAGAGCGAGTTCCAGGAAAGGCACAAAGCTACACAGAGTAACCCTGTCTCAAAAAACAAAAAACAAACAAAAAACACTCATGCATGCAAAAAAGGGGTTGTTGGACCATGTGCCCTGATGTTTGAAAACATAGTTACTTTAAGTATAAGATCTCAGACCAGAGTAGCAAGGCCAAATTTAGGAGGAAAGGGCTGTCTTTTCAGGAGGATGACAGACTCTGTTGGACTATTATTATTATTATCATCATCATCATTATTGAGGCAGGGTTTCACTATGTAGCTTGGCTGGACTGGAACGTGCTATGTAGATCAGGCTCGATTCAAACTCTTATCAAGATCTACCTGCCTCCTAAGAGCTGGGATTAAAGGCATGTGCCATCATGCCTGGTACCCTGTGGGGATGGTTAGTAGGGAGGACTTGTCTTGAGTGAGCACCGAGGGATGAGTGGGGCAGACATGAAACAGTCCTGAGGTTAATGAATCCCAAGAACCCAGCAAATCTTAACACTTTATCCAGGGCTGGCCAGGGGAAGGAGGCAGAAGTCACTGGGGGAGGGACCTAAAGTTAGCTCCCAAGTGGATAGAGAGGTCCACAGAGTTACTGCAACTCTAGGATAGAACCAGCAATAGAGATGGGCAGGGGCAGACCCTCAAAAGGGGGGTGGGGGACTCTGAGCTCTGCTGCAGATCTCAGAATGGAGAGGAGAGGAGACCCCAGGAAAACACTGACGCACAAATGAAGCTGACACCTTAAGCTGTTTTTCACTGAAAATGTCAATTTAGAAAACACAGAAGAATCCACACTTTATTGAGACAACACTGAGAGGAAGGAGGAAGGAGGGAGGAAGGGAGGTCCTGCTCCCAAGGACTTGAACACAGTGGGGCACCTGATCTACCACACGTTCGGGGGCGGGGGCATGGAGGCAGGGGAGGAGAATCTGCCTATGGAGGGAAAGGAGTAAGGGCAGCAGAAGGATGACCCCCCATTTCATCTCAAGACAATCTCACAAGTCTATTTATGGGGAGGCAGGGAGGTTAAGGGGCGTCCAGGATCTAATGGACCAGGCTTATCTTCAGAGACACAGCTACGTGGTCCTGGGGCGTTTGCTGGGATCTACTGTCTCTACTGCCAAGAGAGACTCAGATCATCGGATGAAAGCAACATCTGACACATCTACACATCGGGAAGTACGATTTTGGCAATGTTGGGAGGACCCTGCTGGGAAGCCAAGGGGTCCTTGTCCCACCAGCCTGGACTGCTCTGAAGCAGAGCTTGCTCACAGGCTGGCATCAGCAGACTAAGGGACAGGCTTGTTTGGCAGCAGGATGCAAGATCAGAGCTACCAGTGGGCACTGTGGAGGGAGTTCTCCATTGACAGGACACTCCTTAAAAGTTTCCCTGGTGGAAGAGGCCCTTGGACCCTCTCTGAAGGTCTGGAGTCTGACCATAAGCAGAGAATGTGCTTCTCTAGGGAGTCAGTAGGAACCATTTAGCCCAAGAGTTCTGGGAACAGAATGGGCTGTCTATTGGAGAGTATTCAGAGCACATGTTGGGAGTGTGGGGTGTCTTCTGTGGTAAGAAAAGCTACAAAGTGTTAGGCTATTTAGAACCCTGGCAACCCAGCTGTTCAAGAAAGGGGAAGAAAAAAATCTTGATGGAAGAGTGAGTTGCGGGTTGGGAAGGAGGAGGGCAAGGGGTAGCTGTCAGTATCGACTCTCCTCAGAGCGGGGAAGGGAGCTGTGGAGGGATGTCATGGACAGGAGGAGGGGAGAGGGAAGGCAGGGAGAGAGAAAAACAGAGATGTCAGAGGTGAAGAAGAAGCTAACAGGAGACATAAAGCTCTTGGCACGGAGGCCCTTGGCCTTGGAACCCAATGGTTCCCAATCTGTAAGACACATGCCTATCCCTGGCAAATGTTAAACCAAGATTCCCCCAGTTTTGAAAGGCTCAAAGCCCCCACCCAATGGATTCTGTCTTCCTACTCTTTTGATGACCTCATTAACTCTGGTCCATGGCTCCGTACACAGCACCTCAGAACCTTCACTCTTTTTCCAGACCAATGCTGCAGAAATTTGTGTTTTTGGGAAGATTTCACTGTTTCACATTTCTGGGGGATTCCCCTCATCCTTCACCATTCCTAACGTCTAGACATCCCAAGGCTCCCAAATTTGCAAGCCCTATTACCTGGTGCGTCTGCGCTGGGCTGGGCTGCCCCCAGGGTCAGAGGCCAGTAGAAGGCGGGCAGTGGGGTGTGGGGGGCAGAGACGCAGGGAGCGGAGCAGTTCTTGCTCTGGCACAAAGGGTCGGAGGGGACCCCGATCTGGAGAGCTTCCCAGGCTGCTAGAGCGTGGGGGTGGGTGAGCCGGAGGGGTGGCACGGCGAGGGGCCCTGTTCAGGGGCCAAGGAGGCTCCACAGCCACCTTCAGGACTGGGAGGAGAGGGAGAGCAGAGTCACAATGATCAAGGTTAGGCAGAAAAAGCAGCTGTAGCCTTTTATTACTGTCACCTGGCTACCTTCCCTTAACCATTCTTCCCCAGGTCCTTATGCCTACCCAGCCTCCCCTGATCTGGTTCTCCAGGCTTGGCCACCCTCTTCTGAGTCCTCAGCCCAGCTACCCTCCCCTAAACCCCCCCACCCCCCGCCACCCTCCCCAACCCCCTTACATTCTCTGTCACTGGAGGAGTATGGCTTGATGTCTCCCTCTGCCCTTTTTGGTGGCAGCTTCCGTGCTGGAGCTGGTGGTAACAGGGACACAGGAAGTTTTAGGAGACGCACCTTCCACCCCTCCTCCCTGCCACTTCCCCACTTCTCCCTGACACCACAGCTCCTCCTGGGAATGCCAGTATAGACGCCAGAAGCCGTGCCTGGCAAAGCCAGCACACCAAAGGGAGTCTGGGGGAGGAATGCTGGAGCACTTTCCGGGAGAGCCAGAAGGAGTAGGCCAAACACAGAGTTCAGGAGAAAGATCCAGGGCAGACCGGGGCCTGGGAAATACAGGAAAGGATGGCCAAGGGGAGGCGAGCTCTTACTGTCCATGGGTGTTGTCAGGCCCCCCTGGGGTTCTGGGGCAGTGGAATAGTCCCAGCTGGGCCAGTGAGGACCCTGGGTCCCTCTAGATGAGATGGACAAAGCCCTTGGTTAATTGGGAATTGTTCTGGGGAGGGGAGTAGAGAGGAGGTACAGAACCTCTCCTTCCTGTACAAAAAAGTATGGAAAGACTGAGGTTTTATTAGGTTTTAAGATAATAATAACAGAATGTGGTGGCACATGCCTTTAGTCCCTACACTGGAAAGGTAGAGGCAGGCCTGACAGACATGTCAAGTTTCAGGACAGCCAGAGTTACAGAGTGAGACCCTGTCTCAAACAAGGAGCCAGGCACGGTGGTGCATGTCTTTAATCCAAGAACTCGGGAGGCAGAGGCAGGACAGGCTTTGAGTTCAAGACCACCCTGGTCTACATAACAAGTTCCAAGACAGTCAGAGTAACACAGAGAGATCCTGTCTCAACCCCTTCATCCCCCCCAAAAGAGAAAAAATTATGGGCATCGGCAAAAGGGTTTCAGCAAGTGGAAATTACTGTATGACAAGGGGCAAGGGTGGGTTACCTCCCTTTCCTAGGTTCTGCTTCACAAACAAGGATGGAGAACCCAATCAGCCCTCTGTGGATCTGCATCCATCCCAGATGGTAGCATGACCTCACTGCCTGCTGGACAGTAGCCTCCGAAACCACCACAGGTCATGGACATGATGGGCCTCTGGGAGCCTGGGGCTGACACTAATAAAGAGCAATGAGCTCTTCTTTTTTTTTTTTTTTTTTTGTTGGTTTTTCGAGACAGGGTTTCTCTATGTAGCTTTGGAACTCACTCTGTAGCCCAGGCTGGCCTCGAACTCACAGAGATCCACCTGCCTCTGCCTCCCGAGTGCTGGGATTAAAGGCGTGCGCCGCTAGCGGCGGCGCCGCCGCCGCCGCCGCCACCACCACCACCACCACCTGGCACAATGAGCTGTTCTTTGGGCCACTGTTACTCCTTTTCTAGATCAAGGAGTAACTAACCACAAGGCTATCCCAGGAAGGCCATTCTGTGCCATGCAGCACACTACTGGTGAGGGCTGTGCCCTCTCCCTGAGGATGTACTCGGGGAGGGAGCAGGGGAGGCAGGAGGCAGCCTGTGAGTTTTACTCCAAATAGGTTTATTTATTTTATTTGGTTTTTTTTTTTTTTTTTTGTTTTTGTTTTTTTTTTTTTTTTTTTTTGAGACAGGGTTTCTCTGTATAGCCCTGGCTGTCCTGGAACTTTGTAGACGAGGCTGGCCTCGAACTCACAGAGATCCACCTGCCTCTGTCTCTCGAGTGCTGGGATTAAAGGCATGCCCCACCATGCCCAGCCAGGTTTAATTATTTTTCAAAAAATATTTTTCTTTTAAGACAGGATCTCATATGTAGCTCTGGCTAGCCTAGACCTTGCCATGTAGACTAGGCTAGCTCCAAACTCATATAGCACTAGCTGCCTTGGCCTCCTGAATGCTGGGATCAAAGGCATGTGTCACCATGCCAGGTAAAAATGTTATAAATTGAGAGCATTTAAACTTTGGACTGTTCACATCACTATGCCATGAATAGAAATCAAAGGACTGTTGGGCTCACTTGCCTGTCACTCCCTGGCTGACAGAGCCTGAAGAATTTACAGAGTAATCTGATTTTGGCCTGTTTTGAGGGAGCTGACCTAGTCAAGAGGCCGTGCTGACATCGGTGGCCAGCCAAGCTCTGAAGGGGCTTAAAGAGAACCCTTGCTGAGGGCAGGACATCTCGGCCGTGAACAGTGTGGTTAAAGCATGTGCTTCAGCATTAGCAGGATCCTAGTTCTTCCCTGTTATACAATGCACTAGCTCCCAGCAGGGCACGGCAAACCGAAGAGACTGCTGGGTATGTGGGTGGCTTTTGGGTGTTCTAAAGTGCCAGCGGCTAGCACTGCACACTTCAGAACCTCTGGAGAAACCAGACGTCATGGCCCTTTAATTCCACCCAGTCCATGCAGGATTTACCAGCAGGCGTGGGATCGACCTCCGAAGCACGAGAGTGTCGAGTTGCCCTCAGAGAGGGAGTTGGGGGCCCTGTGAGGAAGGAAGAGGTGGTGGCCCTCAGTGGGGGCCAGTGGGACCAAGAGCCCACCTCTTTCCTTCCCTCTTCCCAACTACTAGACCAACACAAGGTAAGGAAACTTACGATGCTGATGGGCAAAGAAGCCTTCAAAGATCACAAAGTTGTTCACCTGGAAGAAGAAGTAAACGAGGCACGTTGTCCACTCAATCTCAGCACAGTGGGTACAGAACCCTTGCCAGAAAGACCACACAGGTGGGCATGGATGTAGCTCAGCTAGCAGAGTGCTTACCTACCATCCATGAAGCCCTAGGTTCAAGCCTCAGCACCACATACATTAGGTACAGTGCCACATGCCTGTCACCCTAGCACTTGGAAAAGAAAGGTAGGAGGACTGAGTTCAAGGTTATCCTCAGGTAGACAGAGAGCTGGAGGCCAGCCTGGGCTACAAGAGACCCTGCCCCAAGAAACAAAAACTAGGGGCTAGAGAGATGGTTCAGTGCCTAAGAGCACTGGCTGCTCTTGCAGAAGACTTATTTTCCAGCATCCAACATGGCAGCTTACAACTATCTGTAACTCCAGTCCCAGGGGATCCAAAACCCTTTCTGACCTCCTTCATGGGTACTAGGCACACCCATACTGCACATATATTCATGCAGGCAAAATATTAATACATATAAAATAATAAAATAAATCTAGCCAGGCAGTGGTGTCACATGGCTTTTCTCCCAGCAGAGGGAGAGGTGGCCAGATGGTCTACAGTCAAGAGGACAAAACCGAAGCCTAACACTTCCTGTTTTCAGAACTTACTATTGAACCACAGAAATCAAATCAGTATAACAGAAGGATCCAAGAGCTAAAAACACATGAATATACAGTGTGAAAGTGGCCTAGGACAGACGTCAATCAACAGAACTGAATCAAAGGTCCAGAGATAAACTTATGTGTCCATGGTCAACTGATTTTCAACAAAGGTGCCAAGATCATTCAACAGAGATTGAACAAATGTTTCTTTAACAAATGGTGCTTGGAAAAATGAATATCCACACGCAGAGTTATTATCATAGCAGAGATGCAAAGTAAATCAAGGGGCTGGGAGATACTGCTCTTCTGGGTCCCTTCCATTCCCAGCATCCACATGGCAGCTCACAACCACCTGTAATTCCAGGGGATCCAACTCCCTATTCCCACCTCTGCAGATACTGCATGCACATGGTACACATACAAACATGCAGTACTCAAACATACATATAAATCTTAAACAGAGAGCTCACATGACACCTGCTAATATTAATATTTTACAGAACATCTGTTGGCATTACTTACAAGCTAACTTCTCCACTTGTCCACAGTAAGCAGCAAGTGTCCGATGTGAAGAATGTGCCCCCTTCCACTGTTCTTACTTTTTTTCCCTCAAACTCACAGAGATCCTCCTGCCACTGCCTCCGGAGTGCTGGGACTAAAGGCATGTGCCACCACCTCCCAGCTGTGATTGTGTTTTTCACTCAGTTAAAAACCAAAGCCTTACAGTGACTGGTGTGGCCCTCAGTGGCCCCTTCCTTTCCCTCGGCTCTACCTCCTGCAATCCTTGTCACACTGAGCTGGGCCGGTCTCACTGCTTAACCTTTTCACTGGCCATCACCTCACTCTGGACACTGCACCGCCACACACTTGCTTCATGCTGTTGCACAAATGGACTAGCTTCTCAGTGGCAGCTTCCTCCAATATCTCACTTGCACCTGTGAAGCCACTCCCCCACCAACACTGGTTTCATTTTCTCAGAACACCCTGAACTAAAGAAAAGAACGCTTTTGGTTTTGTTGTTGTTGTTATTTAAACAGGGTCTCTCTAGGAAGTCCTGGAACTCAACATTCAGATCAGGCTGGCCTTGAATTTAGAGACCTGCCTGCCTCTGCCTCCCCAGTGCTGGGACTAAAGGGATGCACCACCTTGCCTGGCCCTAGAATACATTATGTTTGTCTGGTTCCACATTTAGAAAGCAGATTCTTTGGTTTGGTTACACATTCCTAGTGCCCACAACAGTATCAGACACACAGTAAATGTTTGTTGAATGCATTAGCAATGTGTCTCTACACTCACAAACAAAGTCACCCTCCCATGATCCGCCAAGCCCCCTGAGGACTGAGATGTCTATTATTCTGGATCTTCCATAAATGTTGACCAATGAGAAACACCCTGTGTGAGAACAAGGTGGAAATGAGCTGCTTATGTTTGGGTATGAAAATGAAGTACAGTAAACAACCTATGTCCAGGTGTGGTGGAGAACTCTGGAAGTAGAGGCAGGATGATCTTTATGGTTCGCAGCCAGCATGATTTACACAGATAGCTCCAGGACAATCAAAGCTACACAGAGAGACCCTGTCTCAAAAAACCAACAACAGAAAGAGAGGAAGAACCCCGATAAAGGATCACAGGCTATGATGTGGCTCAGAGACTAAGGACCCTTACTCCTCTTGCAGAGGACCCAGGTTAGGTTCTCACACCTCTGGCCTCCATGGTTCTTACTCACTGTACACATATTCTCATGTAGGCACACTCACATACACATACATATAAACAAAGAATGGATAATTTTTAGAAAAGAATAAAAATAACAAGTGGGCATGGTAATCTGGCAGTTAGGAGTCTGAGGCAGGATTACTGTGAGTGTAAAGCCATCCTGGGCTACACTGGGAGTTTCAGTTACAGAATGAGATCCTGTCTAAAAACAGGCCAGCAGAAATCCCCTAAGACTGACCGTGGTGCAGGCAGAGGTAGGCAGATCTCTGTGAGTTCCAGGCTAGCCAACACCGCACCACGAGACTCTCTCAAAAATAAGTCTCTCAAAACAACAAAAAAGCAGTGCATAGTGGTACATGCCTTTAATCCCAGCACTCTGAGCAGAGGCAGGTGGATTGCTATCAGTTTGAAGTCAGCCTGGTCTACGTAGTGAGTTCTAGGACAGCCAGAGCCACACAGTGAGACCCCAGCTCAAACAAACAAACAAAAAACAAAACAAAACAAAACAAAAAACAAAAGAGAAAAGAAGACAGGATGAACGTTTCTAGAACATGTAATAGTGTAAGAAGAAAAAGATTTAGTTGTAAAATAAATCACACTAGACACTGTGACATAATCCTAGTTCTTGGGAAGCTGAGGCAGGAGGATCATCCGTTTGAGGTGGGCAGGCTATACAGCAAGTCTCCTTCAAAAACAAAACAGCTGGTCATCAAGGTACCTGTCATCCCATAACTCAGGAGGTAGAGAGAAGAGAATTACCATGAGTTCAAGGCCAGCCTTAGACCCTGTTTCAAAAAAAAAAAAAAAAAAAAAAAAAAAAAAAAAAAGGTGGTGTCCTGGACACATGTACATATAAGCAAAGCTAAAAGGACTCAGTAGATTTTATATATATGCACATCTATGTACATATATATGTACATGTAACAATAATAAAGAAGAGATCATTTGGGAGAAGGGAGTTGGAGGGGCAGCAGTGCTGTAGATACAGAGCTCACGTAGGAAGTTCTCAAAAAAAAGAAAGCAGCTGAGGTGTTGGCACATTCCTCTAATCCCAGCACTCTGGAGGCAGAGGCAGGGGGATCTCTGTGTGCTTCAGGCCAGCCTGGGCTACAAGTTCCAGGACAGCCAGAGTGACCCAGTGAGACTTTATTTGAAAATATTAAAAGAAATTAGAGGCTGAAGAGATGGCTCAGCAGTTTAGAGTGCATGCTGCTCTTGCAAAGGACTGAGGTTCAATCCCCAGCACATGGTGGCTCCCAACCATCTGTAACTCCAGTTCCAGTGGTCTGACACCCTCTTCTGACCTGTTTGTACAGGCATGAAAATGGTGCACATATACACACGTAGGTGAAACATTCATACACATAAAATGAAATGTCTAAAACAACAACAAAACAACCCAAGGTAGAACCAGTCAGATGTCTCAAGGGTACAGGCACTTGCTGACCCTGAGTTCAATTCTCAGAACCCATGTGGTAGAAGGTCCAAACTGATTCTCACATCTTTCATCTCCACACATGAACTACAATGCACAGTAAGAAAATAAATGTAAATTTTTTAAAAAGGGGAGTAGAGATGTAATTCAATGGCAGAGCACATGTATCGCATGCTCAAGGCCCTAGCTCTGATCCCTAGCACAACCACAGGATCAGTCAATCTAATGGGATTGCTCAGGGAGATGAGGTGCTGCCTCTGTGCAGAGCCTCTAACCTGCGGGACTGTGGTCTCCAGGTTGTAGTGCTTGTTCAGGAACTTCAGCAGCTTTGGTGACGGTCGATCAATGGCCAGCTGGTGTGGTTCAACTCGCTCTTTCTGTAGGAAATGGGAGACTTGGGGGCAGGGGGTGTTGGGGGAGCATGCTAGCAGGAAATTGGGAGCCTCGCAAGGGAACATGAACAAAATGGACCACTGTGGGGCAGGCAGCAGAGCCTCTGGGAGTCCCAGGGTGAGGAACCTTTTAGATCTGCTTTGACTAACCCATAAAGACGGGGTGGTACCTGTAACATATACTGAAAGAGTTCTCGCCCATGGCCATGCCGCTGCACCGACTCGTGGATGTAAAAGTCCAGAATGCAAAGTGGTTCTACCTCATTGTGAGCTTCACGGTCATCCTACAAGGTCGAGAACAACACAACTTTTTAGGCGCCAGGCATCTTTGTTACCCACCCCACCCCATCCTCCTCCACATTTCTTCTCCGGCACCAAAGCTTACAAACGCCCAGTCTGCAGCAACACTCACCAGTACAAAGAGCTTCTTGTATCCAACTTTGAGGAAACCAATAATGGCTCCTTTCCCTGCCCTGTGGGGTGGGGAAAATCATGAACCAGTAGCAACTGTCGGGGAGAGATAGTAAAAGAAAGGCGAACAGCTAAGGATAAGTAAGGGTTTGATTCGGATGGAAGAACAGAACTCACGATCGGGCTGAAGTGTCCTTTAGTATATAAACAACATGGCGGTTACTCTGCATTCTACAAGCACTGGTGATGGGTGCGGGGAGGTGCTGGGCCTGCAGAAATGAAGACAGACTTTGTACGGGCCCTTATCTGCCACCCCAGTTTACCTTTACTGGTCCTAGAGGTGCCCCGTACCTTGGCAGAGGCCTTTCCCAGTTCATCTACAATAGTCATGATTTGCTGCTGCAGATCCACACTACAGAGAGAGGGGTCAGTCAGACACTTGCTGGGGTTACACCCCTGGCAGCCTGCTTGCTCCCACCCAGGGTCTTCCATGGGGTCTCTGCCTTTGCTTGGAACTCTTCATCTCCCACCTCACCCCTCCATACCCCAAACTTCTGTTTCACAGCTCCCATGTTAAGATTACTGTGGGGCACTAGGAAAGGCGGGTCACCCACAGTCTCTAGTCGAGGTCACATTGGGTCAAGGGATGAAAGGTTAAGGATGCAGGCCGATTAACCCAGCTAGATCTAGGGTCAAAGGCCACCAAAAACCAGGCTGTGAACGCAAGAATGGCCAGTAGTCAGCGAGAAGGGGGCGTGGTGCCTTAACCAGATTTGGCGAGGAACCGGGACAGAAGGGCTACGGGGCGGGTTTGAAATGTCACCGGGCCGGCGTTGTGGTTCCGGGTCGGCGGGCCGGAGGCCGCAGGTGCTGGTCCAGCACGGTGATCCGCTCCGGGAACAGCGCATCCACATCGAACGGGAACTCCATGGCCCATTGTGCAGGACCGGACACGCCCCACACAACGTCATTTCCGCCACCAGGGGCGCAAACCCTGTCTTTATTTCCAGGACCCGCCTCCAGGGATCGCCCCGCCCCCACAGCAGGGTTCAGCAGCCTGGGAGACCCCATTCTTCTGGCCAAACCGGTGGTCCCCCTGGCAACAGGACTCCTCTTGAAGGTCTGTGCCCCTGTAGTGCCATGGCGACCAAGCACTTTTCTCCAGGGCCTCACAGTGAACAGCCAAGGGGACCCACAAGACAGAATGGCCTTTATACACCCTTTCCTTGCTGGAGTTGCAGGCAGGGTGAGTTAAGACTGAACACCTCCCACCTCACAGCAGCACCCCATCTCATACATTTCACCCCCATGTTCTGCAAAGTCAGCGCAAAGGAAACCAGAGGCAGAGAGAGACAGCTTTATTATAGAAGAGCTGTGCCAGCAGGTTTAAATCAGGGACACAGTATCCAGGGCACACAAATGAGTTGTCTCCTGTTCATGTCTGAACCCTTCCAGTTTCCCATGTGCATCTAGACCTCTCTCCTCAACCTCAGATGTGTCTGTCCTCTTCAGTAATCACCTCCTCTTCAGGGTCGTCACTGTCCCAAAACAGACACGTTTCAGAACACATGACATCACATAACCCTAGACACGACTCCCTTAATCCCCGACTTCTTCCCTAGTTCACACGTTCTAAGCACTCTGGGAGCCCATCTGCTCAGGGGTTTCTGCGGGTGGTGTACTGGGCACCTCAGGCATCGACTCAGGCGGGGGGCCACTTTCTTCTAGGAGGTTTCCCTGATAGAGCCGGCGAAGGCGGGACAGTTCTCTTTCTGGTGGCTGCTGCCAGCTGTACCACGGGTACCAAGGTTGGCCTGCCAATAGTGTGGGGGCCGGCGGAGTGACACTGACAGCCCCATGGACAGCACGGAAGTCAGCGTCTCGGGGCTCAACCTGGGGAACGTAGTGACTGAGGAGACCTAAGGGATGAAAGGGAATAACGAGGATGAGGAAGTGAGGAAAGGCAGTTGACATCAAAGACAAGAGAGATACTACCAAAACCAACACACAGCAAAGAGGCACTACAGATGGAGGGACCAATCAGGACCATCAGGCCCATTTCAGCAGGCCATACACTGTACAACCAGCCAAGGAGACAAAGAACAGGAAGGGTACTGCCCGGGCTCTCCCCTGCAAAGCTGCATTCCGTCAGTGTCTACACTGCTGAAGGGCACCCTTCACTCATCTGTGCAAAGGCGCTGTGTAAGCCAGGTCACAAGACTAGAGAAGGGCAGAACAAGGAACATGACTGTCAAGATTCAGGAGACAGAGTACAGTGAGGAAAGAAACGTTTCTTCCTTCATGTTTTAAACAGCGTCTCAGTATGTAGTCCTAGTAGCCTGAAATTTGCAGCTGGGACCACAGACTCTAGCACCACACCCAATTCAGAAGAAACTCTAGGAGTACATTCTCAGAGACAGAGCACACAAGCACCGTCCAGTCCAAGTCACTTTGCCACACCTAAGAAAACCTTGCCTCCTCGCTCTCACTTACCACACTCCCTGGCTTTCTGGATGGCCTGGGTCAGCTTCTTATGCTGCTTCATACAGACCCCTACAGAGAGAAAATTAACTCGGAGCACATCCCCCAAAGTAGAGTTAGCAAAAGTCTTCTATACAGAGGCAGCTAGTTCATCATGGAGGAGCTGGCTTTACTTAATGACCTCTGCCCCCAACCTTCCCACACAGCCAGTTTCCATCTGCCCCATCTGCAGCCGCCTGAGAGCAGGATGAGGACCTCAGATGACTAGCCACTATAGAGATGTCACTGAGTGATAAAGTCTGCAGATGGGCCTGAAGACGATTCAATGGGCAAGTGCAGGCAAGGCTGACTCGTACAATACAGAGAAAGATTCCATAAGGGAAGAAATGATTTCAAATTAGGGAATGTGATAAGGATAGCAGTAATTAGCCGGGCGGTGGTGGTGGTGGTGGTGGTGGTGGTGGTGGTGGTGGTGGTGGTGCACACCTTTAATCCCAGCACTCGGGAGGCAGAGCCAGGTGGAGCTCTGTGAGTTCGAGGCCAGCCTGGTCTACAGAGCAAGATCCAGGACAGGAACCAAAATTACACAGAGAAACCTTGTCTTGAAAAACAAACAAAACAAAACAACAACAAAAAGAATAGCAGTAATTATCCTGTTTCCATTCTGGAGACTGACAGTAAAAGTTTCCTTACAAAAGGAACTTATCACAGGCTCATGCTCCTCCCCATACATAGTGAGTTCAGGCTATTCTTGCTCTTTAGGTCCTTCCGTCTCTGTCTATGATATATGACATTCAGCTTGGCTACTGTTACCTGGAAGCAGATGTAGACCATATGAAAAGCTGGACATGGCCACAGGCCACCAAGGGTAAAAAGTAGAGATAGTCCTGAATTGTTAAACTTAGTTGTTTTTCTTGTTCTTTTTGGGTTTTTTGTTTACTTTTTTTATTTTTTATTTTTTTTAAAGACAGGGTATCTCTATGTAGTTCTGGCTGCCTTGGAACTTACTATGTAGACCGGGCTGACCTCAAACTCACAGGGATCAGCCTGCCTCTGCCTCCACCTTCCCAGTGCTGGGATTAAAGTCATGGTTTACCTTTCAAAGCACATTTTGTTTTGTTTTGTTTTTCTGAGACAGGGTTTCTCTGTGTAGCTTTTGAGGCTGTCCTGGAACTCAATCCATAGATCAGGCTGGCCTCAAATTTACAAAGATCTGCCTGCCTCTGCCCCCCAGTGCTGGGATTAAAGGCGTGTGCCACCACCGCCCGGCTCAAAGTACATTTAGACAGTGGCTTACCAGAGGCTCACCTTAGTCTTTTGTGTACATGTAACTGTTTTAGCCTAGTGAGTATCTTCATGAAATACAGTCTCCAAAAGCTTCAATCACACTTCTGGGTGCAATACATAGGAGCAATCAAACATCTACCACCCAACAGCATGAACCAGGAGTGCTCCAAGGAAGAACTACAGCGGTATTAACAGCAATGTCAAGCTAACCTGTATATGGGGCGTGGAAGATCATACCAGTGTGGGCGCAAACAAACTGTTCCAAGAGTTTCACATTCTGCAGGAAAGAGATATAAACAAATGTGTCAAGAGGTGGTCAAGACCTCTGGAGGCTGACTGTAGACACCTTATACATCCACACAGTCCGTTGTGGTGGCATACCCCAGTAGAGCATGAAGAAAAGGCAAACACAGAAGGATGACGAGTTTGAGGCCAGCCTGGGCTACATCTGGTTGTAGTAATCCCAGCACTTAGGAGGCAGAAGCAAGGCAGATCTCTCTGAGTTCAAGGCCAGCCCATAGCTGCACTTGACTGCTCTGTGCCTCTCTTGATGCCTCCTTCAGCTTTAGCCTCCCCACTTCACCTCACACACGACCTACATCCTGTCACTGAGTTACGGAGAAGCACGTTCCCAAGTTTCCACCTCTGGGCATAAAGTTGGGGATAGTCATCAAGGTCCTAGAAATTACCTAGAAATGATGACATGATGGATATGTAATAAGTAATACAATAGCATGCTGAATATAGTGCATAAAATACAGTATGTAACTAAGAGCAGTTTAATAGTTCTAATTAGATAAAACAACCAGGTAAACCACACAGGATAGGAACAGAGAAGACAGTACACACACCTACCACCGTTCCCAGCCCAGTCATTGCTTCTTTTTGTAACATTCATGATGTGCTGGAAGGATATGAACCCTTATCAACAGACTGATACTCAGTATCCCCAGCTTCCTCAATGCCCAGTTTTGGCTCCTGTGAGCATCTTTATGATCTTTACTATTCACTAAGAAGCAAGCTTCAGCTAGGCATAGGTGGCGCACGCCTTTAATCCCAGCACTCGGGAGAAAGAGCCAGGTGGATCTCTGTGAGTTCGAGGCCAGCCTGGTCTACAGAGCAAGATCCAGGACAGGCTCCAGAGCTACACAGAGAAAACCTGTCTTAAACAAACAAAAAACCCAAAAACAAACAAAAAAGAAGCAAGCTCCATCATTTTGAAGGCTTTTGTGGCGGGAAGGATCTATTCTACTCTGTAGCTCCTTTCATATCTGTTATCTAGCCCCAGGTCCCAGCATCTCACTGAACACTGGGAGGAGAAGGAAATAACAACTAAGCAAGGTGGTAATTGCAGAAATCAGCCTGCAGAGAGAGGAGGACAGTGAGTTGAGGTCAGCTGGAGCTATAGAAACAGATCCTTTCTCAAAAGAGGAAAATGGAGGAAAGCTCCTGCCCCCCAAAACAGGGCAATATATTTGCTAATAATTGTAATAATAGATAATAAATAGGGTTCTTTCCCTTGAATTCCTCCTGTCTTTGGAAATTTTTCCTTCATAAATTCTTTTTTTTCCTTCCAAGAGCTCAGAGAGATCTACCTGGCTCTGCCTCCGAGTGCTGGGATTAAAGACGTGTGCCACCACCACCCAGCTCCTTCATAAATTCTTTTGCTTAAAAAAAATAGTAATAATAATAAAAAATAACCTTTGAGCTACGTGTGGTATCATCACACACCTGTAACCTACAGCCCTTAGGAAGGCAGGAGGATCAGAAGTTTAGCTGCATAGCAAGCCCGAGGCCACTTGGGACACTCATCCTGCCTTCCTGCTTAACCGCTGGTTATCATCCCCAGAAGTGAACTTTCTTTCCCTTTCTTTTTGTAACAGGTGGGGTAGATTATGGCAGGGCCTGGAACTTGGAACTTACATTTCTTCTTCTTCTTCTTCTTCTTTTTTTTTTTAAAGATTTATTTATTTATTATGTATACAACATTCTGCCTGCATGTGTCCCTGCAGGCCAGGAGAGGGCACCAGATCTCATTATAGATGGCAGTGAGCCACCATGTGGTTGCTGGGAATTGAACTGATGACCTCTGGAAGAACAGCCAGTGTTCTTCACCTCTGAGCCATCTCTCCAGCCCTTACATTTCTTCTTTAGCCTTGCCAGTATGGGATTATAGACATATGCTAACTTGGGCTGCGTTCAAATATGTGTCTTTTTTTTGTTGTTGTTGTTTTTCAAGACAGGTTTCTCCATGTAGCCCAGACTGTTCTCAAACTCACAAATCTGCTTGCCTCTGCCTCCTAAGTGCTGGGATTAAAGGCCTGCACCATTGAGTCCAGCTCAAATACGTGTTTTCCGTACTTGGAATTTAGACTACAAATTTTAAGAGAATGAACTAAACCTTTGCACTAAAATCCATAGTAGAGGGTGAAACCTGGAAAGAGAATGTTTTCATTCATATTGGCAGTCATTGGGATTGTACAGGTATAGGGATATGAAAGAGTATGAGACACCTCTGATGATCTCTTGAGCACTATGGAGAGGCTCCAAATCCTAATTACAGATAAAAGAGTCTGCTTACCCTAAAGTCAACATGCAACTTGTGATCCCGGCAGATAGGGCAAGGATTTCCAGTCACTTTATTTTTACGCTGTAGAGAAGAAACTGTTGTTAAAGATACAAAACATAGTCACAAAAAGGACTGACGCTGGCTTCCCCATGGCCTCCTCTTCACAACCCATCAAGATGAAAACCTTAAAAACTTACAATACATGTCTTTCGGGTCTGCTGGGGGGGTACACCACCTTTGTGATTGCGGCGGTAGTCGGCCCAAATGGGGCGAGAACCATAGCGGTTCTGGTACTCTGAAATAAAGACCAGATGAGTTTATTTATGATGGAGGTGGCAGGGATCTTCTCTAGCTACCTACTTCAGGCCCCATCTTCCCTTGCTTCCCCCCAATCTGGGGTACCTTCTGAATCCAGATATTTCCAAGGTTCATTCTCATAAGGGGAGAGGGGAAGTGACGATGGAGAACCTTCTTCAGGAGGACCTTTGGTGCAGAGAGTCCGGAGGGGAACCTATAAAGGAAAGTAAAATGAGGATGAGTTTCAAGAAAAGGATGCAATTATTTGGTTTATTATACTTTGGGGAGAGAGGTGGAATATGTGTCCAAAATATCAGAATAATTCAGCAGGAAGAGACACGAAAGTAGCATTTCTTGGGGGGGGGGGGGAGCAGCGCGTATGGTGGCACATGCCTTTAATCTCAGCACTCAGGTGGCACAGGCAGGCCGGATCTCTGTGAGTTCAAGGCCAGACTGGGCTACAGAGTGAATCCCAAGAAAGGTGCCAAGGCTACACAGAAAAACCCTGTCTCAACAAACAAAAAATGGCAACCATTCTATCTAGCTCTGATCAGATCCTATAGAATGAGCCAACAAGGTAAAGGATCAGGATGTTAGTGGAATGTAACAATTAAAAAAAAACTTGGCAAACAAAGTTCTGTGCTTGATGGGCATTGGTTGGATCTGGTGGAAAAGAGAACTATGTCTAACCCTTTGAAAATAATGAAAATGAGATTTATGGAGAGCAGGGGCTGCATCAGACAAGGGAGAAAAACACAAAGACACTGAGCTGACCAGTTTCATAAAATGCTGCAGGTCAGCATTCCACGGGGCAAAACAAATTTGAGTGCTAACGCCAGCTTTAAAGCTATCAAGCCTGTTATTACTTCAAAGCTATCAAGCCTGTTATTACTTCGGTTGTGACCCCTGTCACCACTCTTTAGTTCCACTTTAGGGAGTGTCGCCGAGACAAGCCTTCAAGCTAATTCTCCCTGCCCTGCCAAGAAACTCCAGGGTGGTGAGTACCTCAGGCGAGAGGGTATCTTCAAGCCAGGGAGCAGAATTAAACGCTCATGCATCCTCTGATAAGAAACTGACGTTAGCAGATGGAGTAGGGAGTGGGTGGATTATGCCTGTAATACCATAGTCTGGGAGGTGAAGGCAGAAAGATCAGGAGTTCAAGGTCACTTACGAGGTCAACCTGTATGAGACTGTCTCTGCAACAGGGGCATTTAAAAAAATTACAATTGGGATCCTTTAATACAAGGACATTTATTCCAACTTCAGATTCCAAACACATAGTTAAGAGTTAGTTGCGTATGTCTAGAGGAGTAGTCCACCGGCCTAATTCTTTTGCCTGTTGGTACTTGGAGAAGACAATGACACGTACCTCTGGCTTTCCCTAAGGCTCAGTGTTAGAACACGCGCGCCGTGGGGGACAGAGGGTGGTGCACGACCAAGACGTAAACATGTGGGGAGAGTGTGACCCTCGACTCCTCGCAGCGGAGCGAAGGTCGAACGTATAGACACCATGGGGATGCAGAGAAAGTCCTCCCAGGTGTTACCTGAACTCCATAGGAGCTTCGCAAGAGGTTAGGAACCCGCCTCAGAAGCGTGTGCGGTAAGGAGGCAGCCATCTTGACGCACGCCCGACGTACGGCCGGCCGGAAGGGAAAACGACTGCGCATGTTCGGGACACTGACTGGGGCGGGGCCAAGGCTAGCCTCGCAATGCGGAAGGCGGATGTTCACGTGCGTAAGGACGGAAGCGTCAAAGGGCGGGGTCCGCAGCGAGGAGCGAATTTAAACTGCGTCACAATCGAACTAGCCTTCAAAATTGCTTTTTTCCCGGACGAGTCGCGATGACTCATAGATTCCATAGTTAGTGTATGACACTAAAGCAGTTTTGAGTGCGATTTGGACCGGACTGATCTCATTGCGCATGCGCCTGGTCGTTTCGACCAACCCCGGGTGAGACTCCCGGGCCGGGGCGGAAGTGGTGGCGGCAGAGGAGAGGGAGGTGCCGGACGCGGCGATCACGCGCTGGCGCAGAGGGGCACGGAAGGAGACGGAAGTGGGGAACGGGGGAAGGGGCTCCCCGAAGGCGGAGGACGGGCGTCCAATCCGCGGGTGGCCTGGCCTTCACGTCGGCCAATCGGCCTTCGCCTCGCGCACAATGTCTCGTGACGAGGGCGTTTCTCCATCACGTTAGGGTGCGTTGGGCGGTGGTCGGGTATAAAAGACTCCGCCCGAGCGGGCGGCCGCCATTCTGGGGTTCGTTTAGAGGTAAGTTTGGGTGCTCCGTCGCTCGGACGGTAACGTTTGGCCGAGAGCGGGTGGTCCGGGAAGCAGGGAGGGGGATGGATTTATTGGGCAGCCACGTTTTGCCGAGTGCGGCTGGCTGCGTTCGGGGATAACAGGAAAGGGCACTCGGGAATGTTTGAAGGCGACCCGTACTGATTACAGCTTTCTCCTTTTGTGTTCTTTCTATCCCAGGTTGAATTTTCTCGGAGAAAGACAGGCCGGCCATCAGGAAAACAAACAAGCCTCAGCAACATCTAAGCCCATGAAAGGATCCTGAGAGAGGGGGGACAGGGAAAACAGCAGCCACCAGCCCAACCACTTGTGTCTTCTACCCCTCCCCACCTATCTTGCCCACCCCACCAGCCCACGCTGCTTGGGACTTGAAATCTGTGGCCGAAGGACCGTCACCACATAACTTCAAAAATAATCAACCACCCTCCCCACCCAAACCCACCCAATCTCACTCATCCAGCATTTCCTTTTTGGAATCCACTCAGGATTTTTTTTCAACGACCCCCCCTCCCTCAATGGAGTTGGGTGGGGGGAATGTGAATACTGAGTTGGTCTTTACTTTTTTAAGAGACTTTTTGATCCAATGAGGCCCCCCAAGTAATTGAGTTTGGGTCTTGGTTGGTTGTTTTATTTTTTTCCTCCAAAATTTTACCCCTCCCTCCCCTGAGCCCGAGGTGCTGACGTCGCAAAAAAATTGGATAGTAAGTGTCGAATTTTCAAAAACCAGCCTTGCAACAAGAAATCAACGTTTCCCGTTGTGAAACCAAAAATAATGAGAGGAAGAAATGAGACCATAGAACAAATGTAGAATACTGGAGACGGACCAATCGGGTCTCTTAAATCTCCATTAAAAAGGTCCTGTGGGTCTAAACAGTCTTTGTTCTCGCTCCCCTGCCACCTGCCTCTTCCCTGCTGGAGCAGGCAAGGAGAGGGTGAAGGGAGGGCCAGCAAGTGAGGATATTGACGGTTAACCCTTGATAATCCAGCAAATTTCCAGACTGCCAAAGCATAAGCCTTTGCTATTATAAGGAGGAATGGTTACCTTCCTCTGGATAGCAGTCTTCAAAAGGGTTAATGAGCTCACATACAAAAGATGGTGGATCTTGTGGCCCAGAAGTCCCACTTCTTTGTGTGTGAGACAAGCAGAGCGCCTTTCAATTTGCCAGATAAATAAGCAATCTGTACATAAAGATTGCAGGGTAAGGAGATGGGCAGAGAAGTATTAGCTGGCTGTGTCTTTAAAGTGATTGTTAAATCCTCTCAATTTTAATGTAATTTGCTTGGGATATATTGTGTGGTTAAAGTAGGTGGCAATCTAGGAATAAAGATTGCAAGACACTTAAATTTAGGGCAAAATATAATCTTAGTAACAAGTACATACAATATAACATTTGGGGAGGTAAAGAATGTCTTGTAATTGTTTCAGATTGCATAGGTTATTTAAAGGCAAAAGTGATTAACATTTTAACTTGATACTTTTTAGTGGTTGGATACAGTTAAGAGGGTGGAAAGGTTGGGAAATGTGAACTCAGGAGTATAATTTTAAAAGCCATTAGTGCAATTGAATGCTAGCTTTCTAGAAGATTTGTGTCGTTAAAGAGTTTTTTTTCTTCCCTGCTTCAAATATGGCGACTTTTCCTTGTCCTTTTGTCTTCCAAGCGGCGTTGCAGGTTGTGTCTTGACCCATTTTTCTCCTGTCCTCCCACCTCAGCCCTATTTGTTGAGGGGTCCAAGTCCTCCCCCTTTCCGGTTATAGGGAGGATTGGGGTGGTCGGCGGTAGCAAATTGAACTTCAGTTGCAAATTCAAATTCTTAACCCGCAGAAAATTGTATATTAATTGATTTTATTTTCAGTAAGCTCTTAAACTGAATTAAAATAGGTCAGATTGAGCAAGGGGGGCGGAGGGATGACTTTTTTTTTCTTTTTTCTTTTTTTTTTTTTTTTTTACTTAGTTCTTTATAGTGTAAGTAAAGCTACCGGCAGCTGTGGATGGCTTTTTAAATTTTGAGTCGTCCTCTCTATAACAAAATGGCGTCCCTCTCCTTTGTTTTTCTCTTTTGCCAGTCAGCTTAGGGCTGCCCTAGAAACTTGGTCAAGGGGGAGGAGCCACTTTGAAAGGTGATGTAATCAGCTTGCTTCCTCTGATAACTCCACCCCCAAGCAAATGCTTTCTCTCCCTTTGCAGATTGCTGCTGGGGAGAATAGCTTTCCATTTCCTTTATCTTATGAAGTATCTTACAGGGATAAAAGCTTAATGAAAACAGGAATGGAGGCTGTTCCAATCGTGTAGTTCTAGTGTATGTGTTTAACAATCAGCCCGATGTGTTTATTTCCACCTTCCACTCATCACAAGCTTGGACATGTACCCTGCTTCAGTTGACAGGTGTGAAAAACTAAACCCCAACTGTGCTTTAGGTTTGGGAGATTGGGGCAAGACACAGGGTTTGTAACTTGAGTAGACAATTGGGCCTAATGAAGCTGAAATGTGCCATTCTGCTCAGGGCGGGTTCTTTGTACTTCCAAATGTTGTTGCTTTGTAACAGTCTGGGGGAGGGTTGGTACTTGTAGGACTTTCTTATAAATCATCCTTATTCTCACCTCTCAGTTTGGGGATAAACTCTTTGTGCTCAGTGCCATCACCCTCTGCAGTTGCTTAGTTCCTGTGTGTGGGCACTAGGATGAGAAGTGAATCTTTAGGAAGGAGGCTGCAGTTGTAAACTCGAGGCAGGGGGAGTCAAGCTACGGTGTCTGGTAAGCAAAACATTTCTGGTATTACGTTTCACAACCTTTCTTTTTTCCAAAGAGCCACCTTTTTGAATTTCTTTTTCCTTCCTTCCTAAAAAGAAATTCCTTTAAAGCATTGAGACAAGAATGTGCTCTTCATTCTGCCTGGTCAGTGCTGTGGCAGTTGGTGCATGTTAAAGCCACACCCTCGAGGGTGGTGTTGGGTGTCTGGTTCTTACCTCTTTTTCAAGTCAGTCTTCGACAGTTTCTTCTTCTACTTTTCATTTTTGTATTTAAAGTTCTGCATTGAAGTGTGGAGTTTCTAGGCAGAGTTTACAAGCCTTTTGTCCTGTCCTATGGTGACTTTGGGTGCAACAGGGCTCATTTTCCGCTGGCTGTGGATTCTCATTATTACTTGGACTTCTGATTGAATGGGAGGGCCTCTTCCACATGTCTATTTACCACACGTCTTTTTTATCTTTTGAGCAGTTTGCCAGGTGCCTCTGCAGCATACCTACCTTGGGAGCTGAGCATTCCACCCACTGGGGTTCCTGATCTCTAGTGAGCAGGGGATTAGTAAAGAAGACCTTCCTTGCATGGGAGATGAAAAGCAAGGCTTTCTAGGGAACCTTGGAGAGCCTGATTCTCATGACTCGGCCAGAGCTCTATTTGGGGGTCTTTCCTTGAGGGTCAGGGTGGTGGACATAATTTTACATCTTTATTGAAAGCCAAATAGTCTTCCCGGGAGCAAGATTCCCTGATTTTCAAAGTAATGATGAGGGAGGAGTAGGGCCTTACCATGCATAGGTACAGAAGCTGTGAACCACCTGAGACAGTCCATTCCACTATTGGGTCAGACCAGGAAGCTCTCAAGATGCTGGGGGAAGAGCGAGGCATTTTGCATCAGGAGGTGCTCAGGCCCCAGCAAAGAAGAGCTGGCACTTCTGTCCTCTTGTCAGAAGACCTTTGTAAGGCTCCCTGGCTTGCATGGACCTTGTTTCCTAAAGTGATTGAGGACTCAGTGGTGGTAGATGTTTAGTGACTAGCCAGGCTAGATGCTTTTCCACCATTTTAAACCAAATAGCCCTCAAGTCAAATTCACTTTGCAATCAGGGTTAGGAATTTGGTATCTCTAGTAAGAACCGTAGAACATTCCCAGAGTTTAGAAGGTGGAGGCACACTGCGGGCTTCCTTCATTTGTCTCCTTTTGTCTGTGGACTTCAAGGAGACTAGCAATTGGTTGAAAAAACAAAAACATGACCTGAGTTCTTTATGGTTACAGACAGTTTCCTCGGCTTCAAACTCCAGAACAGAGTGGGGAATACTTGGTCACTGTCCCTGCCCACTCTGGTCAATGCAGTTTCGGGCCTTTGTCATAGACCTGCTCCAAGCATGATGGATTCTTCCTTTGTTCCCATTGGAAGACCTTATAGCTTGCCTGTGAAAATGGGGACCTAGATTGTAAGGCATTTGGGGTCTCTAATAAGGAATAAATACCACTGAAGAAAAGGCACTGAGAAAATTTACATTTTAATATGAGGAGACAAGTTCAGTCATCCTCCCAAATATAACAGTGGGAAATAACATGCATCTTAATATGCCTGTTTGTCTCCCAGCTTCCTTGACTATTGTGCCTTTATATTTATATAGATGGGCAT